CGGCGTGAGCGTGAGCCGGTGGCGGCTGGCAGGCCTGCGCCAGGCCCTGGAAGTCGAAGCGGTAAGCGTAGCGCTTGCCGTGCACCTTGCTCATGATGTTCTTGTCGTAGTAGTAGCGCAGGGCGCGGCTCAGCTTGTCGTAGTTCATGTTGGGCTTGCTCTTCCGCTCGCCCCAGCGCCGCGCCACCTCGTCGGGGTCTGTGAGCTTGAACTCGCCGTGGCCGCCCTCCCACGCGATGCAGCCGGCGTTGGCGCGGTCGGCCAGCAGCTCCAGCAGAAACTGCCACAGCTGGATCTGCCCGCTGCCTGTGGAGAAGGGGACGGTCAGCCCGGGGTAGAGGGGAAGGCTGGAATTGGGGGAAAGATGGGGGGAAACCAGTCCAACTCCGGGGGACCCAGAGTCGGGGAGAAAGGGTCGTGTCCAGCGGTGCCGTCGCGGGCTGCCAGAGCGACTGGTCAGGGAAGGGCCGATGGTCTCCAGCGGCTGTAGCGCTTTTGCCACGGTGAAAACACGGCTTTTACTCAGGAGGTGGCCCCCTGGGCAGATGGTTTGGGAGAGGAAAGAGAGGGGAAGACCCTTCTCCTCCTTTGGGAGGCCAGGGTGAACCAAGGCCCTTAGCCTTATAAGGCGAGCAAGGGCCAGGTATCATTTCCTCCTCAGCTGGTCAGGGCAGAGCCTACACAACCACACCGGGCAGCCCTGCCGGGGGGACTGCAGCATCTCTGTTGTGCCACGTCCAGAGATTCAGAGGGAAGGGCCAACAGGATGACCCCAGCCATTACTGTTCAAGGCCCAACCACACACCAGTGCCCACCACCCAAAGGCATACGATCAGACCCGGCCTGAGGTGTTGTGGTGGGCTTCCTTGAGACACCATGTCAGGCAGTAATGGGGACATAAATCTTGTATACTTGAGAGGAGGGGCAGACTCTAAGGCTCCCTATCCCAGCCCCCTTTAGGTAAGCAAAGCTCTGTGCTGGCAGTGCTCACCCTTTGGTCTCCTTTTTCAGATCAGGCGGGACTCCCTGTGTGGGAAGGTGCCATAATCCCGTAGGGCCTAAGGGATAGCTCTGGGGAGGGGAGATAGGACAGAAAAGCTGTTGTACTAGGCCCCAGAGTCCTCCCATTCTTGGACAATTTGTCTCCAGATTTCCGGGTCCAGGAAGTGGCCAGAAGGTTTTCCCTGAAATTCTCCAGGATTTCCTTCTCTGTCTTGGGGCCTCAGACTTGAAAAATCTTGTTACAAATCCTCCTCCCAATAAAGATATTGTGTCCAACTACAATTCAAAATAAATAAATTTTTAAAAAGGGTGGGCTGGGGTTGTGGCTCAGCGGTAGAGCACTCCCCTTGCATGTGGGAGACCCTGGGTTCGATCCTCAGCACCACATAAAAATAAATAAGTGAAATAAAGATATTGTGTCCAACTACAATTCAAAATAAATTTTTTAAAAAATCCTGCTCCCTTTTAGAATAAAACGGATTTTCCTCAAATTTGTTTGATTATTGCCTCAAATCCAGCCTGGTGAACCTCTCCTCCTTTTCAACCACTTGCTTTGATCCCCGGGGCTTCCTTCACCTGCAACTTCAACCCCAGTCCCTCCATGTCAATCCAGCAAGGAGATACCTGGCTCTGGGTGTGGCATTGAGTTTGGGGATCGGAAGCAATGGAAGGTTTGGGTTAAAATGTGCACCTGGCACCAATTGCTGAGCAACACCAGGGATTTGGAAACCAGTCCCTGTTGGGCAGTAATGTCCCCTTCCTTGGGAGAAAAAGAGGCTGCCAACCTCCATTCTGTAGGTGCTGTAACTTGGTGAGATCTAGAATGCTGATGGGTGGGTGGGGCGGGGGAGAGAAGTTGCTTGGAGGACCAGCCTCAACTTGGTATTTTAGTGGTGGGGCAGCGCCAACAGGCAAAAATGGGAGTCAACCACAATTGCACCCCCAGACTTGACCTGCAGAGATGCCGGTAAAGCAGGAAGCACCAGCAGGGTTTTGGATACCAGCAGCCTAGCCTGGAGGTGAAGTAATTTTCTGGGTCACCTTGCCAGGCTGTGCTCCAGGCTTGCCCTCCTGCTGCTGATAGCAGCCCTCAGGCCCTCAGGCCCGGTCCCCAAACCTGGAAAACTATATGCAACAGAAAAAGATCTGAGCGGCCAGGATACTTTCCACCTGTCATGGCTTACAAACAGTCCTAGGATTTAGAAAATGAAAAAGCCAAAGGCCAAAGGAATGTCTCCCCAAAGGCTTCCTTACATTCAATCCAGGACTCCAAGCTTTACAGAACCCAAAATCCACATCGCTCCCACCCTGTCCGGTGGCAGTAGCAGCCGTTTCCTTGGGGTCCATGCCGAGCCCCCATTCACTGCCCAGTATTCACTCCAACTGCCCAGTGCACTGGCCAGCTCACCTTTTTGCACCGCAGGGCTCAAAGGCCCCCAGCTCGGGCTCTTCCCTTCCTTGAAGAGACCGTCTCCGACGGGATCTGCGATAGCAGAAGAAAAGAGTCAGGCGGACCCGGGCGGAAGTTGTGGACTTGACCGAAAGGGCCCGGGGCCAAGTCTCCAGGGTCTCTAGTGTTCTGGGGGCCCGGGCCACCCAGCTCCTCCTCCGGGAGCCCGGCCCCGGCGCGTGCGGCGCAGAGCCCCTCCGTAGCGCCCAAGTCAGGAAACGCGTCCAGGAAAAAGGAAATCCGTTTTCCGAAGGGGCCGGCTGGAGCCTTATAAAGCCGAGCGGGGATTGCGCCAACTGAGCTTGGGCGAGCGGAGCCCCTCGAAGAGAAGAGGAGGGCGCTTGAGGGCCTCGCGGGTGCGAACGTTTGGAGGACCAAGGTGAGGAGCCTTGAGGGCACAGGGGCGACTCCCTGCGTCCTCGCGTGGCTAGAGCACAGAGTCCTCCACCACATGGAAGACCTCTGCTCCCCCACCAGGCTTTTCTGGGCCCCTGAACCCCGGTCTCATCCTCCTAGGCTCTCAATCGGCTCACTTCGAATCCTCTAGACCCACACCGAAACCGCAGAGTTCTCTATCTACCTTTAAGGTTCCTTGCATGTCCTAAATTGCAATCGGTCCCCCACCCTGCAATCCGAGCGTCCAGATCGCATCCTTTTCGTTTGGACCCCACAATCCCCTTCCCCAAACCCTAGCCTAGACTTCCCGCCCAGGGTCCTGGTGCCTCCAGCCTTCGGCTGGTCCCTGGTACCTGGCAGGTACATGTTGATCAGCAGGGGCTGGGAGGCGCCGCTCTG